ATGTGAGGGTATCTTAATATAAGGTACCGTCAGTATTACTAATAATAAAACAGTCCAGTACCAACCGCCATTTCATTAACACACCTACATTACAAGAACCACGAAGAACATGGCTAAAACTCTAGTAGCCGTCATTTTTAAATTAATATATTTCTCTAACCCTAAGTTTCTACTTAATTAAAATATGTTTTAATCTCCCCTAAGTAAGTTAGAGGTAAGTCCACGGTATCAAATATAGCTACTACATTTGTTTCTAGTGTAAAAGTCTTCATAGAAGTATCGTAGAAATCTTACTTAATATTATAAATACGAAAGTTTAGATGAATGGATGATGCTGAACAGATCTCGATGAATGGAATAGATGCAGAGAATAATCTGGTAGAACACTTGGGTTGCTTACTTTTTTTTATTCCGCGCGAACCTAGTCGCGGGCGTAAACTAGTATAAAATTTAACACATAAGTATAAGTTTGATATCAGTTATTTCGTATAAAATTACTGTATATTATTTACACACGTCCGCATTCAGAGAGCCATCGCCAATGTTTAAACTTTCCACAACTTTCAAAGCCTTCGAGGCTTTTATGTTGATGTCGAATTTTCATTTCTATATTCACACATTTCAGCTTCCTTTTAGGATTATTAACACAGGAGTTCTCGCAAAATAGGTAACATAAATTTTCTAAATAACACATTTAGAATAAAATTTTGTTATACCATTTTACTTTTAGGTTAAACTTTGATACTACTTATATTAAAAATGCAAATGTTTGGATGGATAAATGTTTAAAAAGATCCTGCAGAAACTTCCAGAGTGATTAAATCAGATGCAACTTTTGACACTGTCTTGAAGAGCAATTTTTTTCTTCTATTTGACAAGTTTTTTTAATTCCGCTTAGACGAAGTTACAGGTAATGTATACTATTAAAATAAAGATTTAAATGAATTTCTCTTATTCATAAACTAGCAACCCTCGCCTTCAATAGCGTAGATAAACAAATAATTGTTTTTTTTTATAATATACGGTGGCAAACGAGCAAGCGGCCACCTGAATCCACCGAAAAGGAAAGCGACCGCTGCCCATAAACATCCGCAATTGCAGATGCGTTGTCTATCCTTAATTGACGGAGTAGACAACGTTTCTTTTAACAATTTAATAAAATAATAAAAGAAAACATACGAAATCTGATTAGTACTTCCAGAGTTCCAACACAAGCACTCAATTGTGTTTCTCTAATATATCATTAATTCTCAAAACAATTAAAAATTTCAGTCACAATTTAAGTATCTATACTAATATAATAAAACGTAAACACACACTTCTTTGTTGACTAAGATGTCAGCAATGACAGCATATTTTCGAATAACTCTTTTTTTAATAAAAAGGCCTACACTTACGTCACGCTTTAGGCTATATATTTTTACGCCGTTAAATTTAGGGGTCAATATTTTGGATAAAAACTCTAATGTGGGAAAGAGATCATAAGTTGCTGCCAACATCAGGCAAACAAGGTTGCACTGGTTTGTCATTGTCATTTTGACATTTGACATATGTAAACAATAAAATAATATTTTCATAATTTTATGCAGATGAAGTCGCAGGGGAACACGTAGTCTACAATAAATACAAATACAATAATAAAAGTGGTAGTGCCCGCTTTAACATCTTAGCACGAATGGGCCGGCACGCCCGGTGTAATACCACGACCACACAGAAGACAGGCGTGAAATGGAAGCAATTCCGTGTTTCGTCTGATGAGTATGGTGCCGAAGGCCTAATTTAAGTGCCTTTCTCTTTACCACCCTTTTCTTATAAGGAGAGGTTGTGAAGAGGAAGTGGATTTGACGGTGGAGGAGATCCATAGGAAGGGGAAATATCCTCTTTATGAGCGTCTCCTCCTTCGTCGTATAAGGGTAGGCAACGCATCTGCAATTGCGGATGTCTATGGGCAGCGGTCGCTTCGCCAAAATGGGCGGTTAAAGGTGGCCGCTTGCTCGTTTGCCACCTTATGTAATAAAAAAAAATTATCAAAATAATGTCAAGCGCCTTTAAAACTTCTTAGTATTTAACGTAAAGACGCAAACAGACGGCTTCATAAAGCCAAAAGATTTAATGACAGAGCCCGAACACTACAAACAGGGGCCAGTGCAAATGTTGACACGGACGCCGCGGGAACAAATACCCACTGCACCACAATCGGATGCAACTAAGGCTTTTGTTTAAGATCTTAAGGCTGAGTTGCACAATGCTCTAGAGTCTACCGTAATTCATTCGGATTTTCAGACTACCCACAATTATTGGGATAGAATTAAAACTACAAGTATTTAATGTTTATATAATCTAACGCTGTTAGTGTCTTAAAATAAAAAATAAATAAAAAAAAACTTTACTGAACTGTATTTTTAAATAATACATTATAACCATATACAAGAATATTGCTTTCAACATATCTACACTAATATAAAAAGGTAATATTTTTATTTTTGTATGTATTGAAATAACTAAAAAACTACTTGGCCGATTTTAAAAATTCTTTCACCGTTAGAAAGGTAATTTATTTATCTGTAACATAGGCTATTTTTTATTATTTTTTTAATTTTTATTAAGGACGAAGTCGCAAGCAACAGCTAGTATAAAGATAAACTGATATACCTAAATAAATCTACACCCTTACACGTTCCTGCGATAAGAATTTCAAATATTTCCCAAATTTGTTTGGACCGGAATACCGTAGACGTTTCTCGTCTAGAGCAATACGTCAACAGTACTTCGGTACGTCCATTTCGGAAAATAAGGTAAACACACTCAAGAATACGCTCGAGCTGGCAAACAAATATACTACGAGCAAACACGCACAGGACCTTAGACTTTTAAGACGCAGGACCTGTCAAGCACGCATTCCTTTCTATCGATACCGAACAGTTCTACACATCCTTGTGTGTGTACAATATGTTAAAAGTTATGCGAGTCATTTATATAACTCACAAGAGTGTCAGAACATATTATCTAGCTGCTGTGAAATAAAAAATAATAGCCTATGTTACTAATAATGTAGGTTTAAACGGTGAAAGAATTTATGAAATCTGCCTAGTAGATTGAGTTATTACAATATACAAATTTTACCTCTTTATTAGTATAGAGTATAGATATACTTGCTCTTTGTCTAGTCCGTTTCTCTATAGTCGAAGTACAAAATAAATTGACTCTCGAACTTGTAAGAGGCTTTAAATAACAAATGCGAGCACGCGACCTTCATCCGTATAAAATAATCTAGTGATTTTGAACTTCATAGATCTTAAAATAGATTAAAATCACTACATTTATCTAGAAAACATTACTAAGATGGTCTAGTAAGTTCTTAACATAACATACCTGTTTTACCGCCAAATAACTTACAGTCATAAGTTTTTATTTTGTCAAAAAGAACGAGAGACATCGATGTTAAAGAAGGATTTACACAAAAAAAAACATCGATTCAAATCTATGGACATTTTTTGTCTATAGTCAGAAGTTAAAGCGATACCGCTTGCATTACTAATTCCGATTAAACGGTAATTAAATTATTAGTTAGCGCCTTCTGACTGAGGCTGGGGAGGGACGAAAGGGCGGGGTTCTCACGTCGCTCAAAGATAATTGAATTAAATTACCTCGTGTCAGAGTTGAATATTTCCAATGTGAGATAATTAACTCTAACGTTGCCGTGGGTACAAAATCAACTACAAAGCACACCTTTAACCGACGCAATTAGTAGTTTAATATTCACTAAAGAAGACCCTCAGTGGAGATTTAGTTTCAACGCTAAAATACTCAGCGTAATCTCTGACTAATGACCACGATCAATATTGACTATACTTCGGCCGATTGCCAAAAAAAAATATAAAAGTGTCATTTTGGCCATAAATACCCATCAAATATATTATTAACTAGCTTTCGGCCGCGAATCCGTCAGGGTGGAAGAAGGAAACAAACGCAAGAAGCCTATGAGTTCTTCCAGACTATGTTCTACATCTATGCCAAATTTCATCGAGATCTGTTCAGCAGTTTAGGCTACAAACTCTTACATCCATCCATCCGTCCATCTAAACTTTCGCATTTTTAATATTAATTAAGATGGACGGATGGATGGATGTAAGAGTTTGTAGCCTAAACTGCTTACTAATGTAACATATAACAATGAAGTTTGTTATTAGAAGAAGTATTCTTGTTAATAATAAACTTATCTATTTCGTAAATAAATGAAAACATAGTACAAACATAGTAATAATTACGATCATTAACGTAACATCTTGTCTGCCCTCTACGATAATGAGTGAATAAAAACAAGACAGACAAATATTATTTAACGGTAACATAAATTTAATAATTCCAACTCAATCTGTCTATTAAAACTTGTTATATAGTAATTTTATTGAAAAATCTGTTTTAAAGTAAATATCAGAAAAAATACCTAACTTCAGTCAAAATTAAATAAAACTAAAAAACAAATGACATGCGAAATTAATCATAAACAAACTATCTTAACATATTTTTGACGTTTATTAAACCTATATCAATATTACCGTGTACTTATTCTTAAGGCATCTTAATACCTTTGTTGGTTTTTTAGTAGAAAGCGGCCAGCGACGGAGGCTGTATATGGACCGAACACGATCTTCAGTTCGTTGACCGTAAAAATAAACTAAATCAGATTTGTTAACTAATTAATCAATAGCTTTTGATTCATAAAAAAAAAAATTAAGACCTTCAAAAACGTTTGTACCAAAAATAAACACGAAACAAATAATTAAAATATTACTCATAAATCCATTGTAATTCATTTGTTAACATGAATTTTCAACGAATTTTTACTCTTATTTCATTCTCCAAGGTCATTAAGTTGCAGCAAAGTTGTTTGAATTCGAAGTAAAGTTTACATCGAAGTGATCATGCGCGGTGGTAGTAAACAAACTTGAACTTTTAAAAAGTTTCGTTTCTAACGTTTTATTTGAAATTTACCTTACCTTTTAAATGAAGTATGACTTTTTATAATGAACTACCTTAATATTCTATTCCAAAGGCACAATCCACTTGAATTTAATCACATTCCACTAATACCACTTCGAAAACTAGTAACAACTCACCAGTCGGAACACTTTTTTGAGTGAAGAACAATACGAATTTTAAGAAACACTAGATATAAAGTTTATTCAAGTGTATACAAGGTACTTTATAAGATTTTTATTGTCATTTAAAACTCTAAATTAGTTGAAAAACTTATAAAAGCGTCGTAAACAATCAGAGCAACATTCGGCACGCGACGGCCATCTTCCGCCAACACAAAGTTTAAGGTTATTCTCGCTAGAGGGATCGCTCTGTTAAAGTCCAATTAATAATTAAATACATTACTTCTAAAACATGGGACAGTAATATTTTATAAATATTTCTTTCACTATTTTTAAAATGTCAAAAAGTTTCTCTTACAAAATATGAACAAAAGTTGATTACAAAGTAACTTTATTTAATGCAATGGCAACACTTTTCGGAGCAAATAGTTTCAATTCAGTAAAACTAGCTTCAAACTTACTTTAATAAGATACAAGTGTAAGTAACTATGCGAATACGTTAATCGTCGCTTAATTAAAACTTAAATGATTACGAGAAGTTTAATATTTAAATGAAGAACTTGTCACTTTTTTAAGAACAAAATGAAATGGCAACACAAGCCTGAAATTTTCAGATCACTTATGTCATTCCTTTAAATTGACAAACCGAAAGAATCGGCAGTGCTTATTTTCTTTTTACTTGGTTAACTTACAAAGCAATAATTTAAGATTCTGTCAGAACGTTTATATTGTACAATATTAATAGAAATCTTGTCCTTTGAATAATATTTTAACATTCTTGTAAGTAAAAGTAAGCAGAAAACAATTCAATTTAAAACTTGTGACAGTTAGTGCATTGTTATTAACTTATTAACATATACATGTAGCTTATTTTCAAGTTGTTTTGGTGTATTAGTAATATTCGTTAAATATAATTTAATACATATAATAGTTTTATTGAAAATGTGTTTGTTTCATAGATATATTTAGTAATTGACTAATATAGATGAGTAGATAACTAAAATTCACATTTATTTTGCTAATCTTGACTTATAACATTTATGATTTTCATTTCATGTCAGTTGTGGTAACAATATATAAGATTCATAGATACTTTAACAACTAGTAGTAATTAAATGTGTATTTCTAGAAGATTGACTGTCTACTAACACTCCTAATTTATGATAGGATCCGATGCTCACAGGGGAGAGGTATAGTGAGCTGGTGACGATCAATAACTAAATACTATTATACAAATATATTAGTCATATCATCATCATCATCACCAGCTCACTATACGTCCCCACCGAGGGGTTTGGAGCCTACTCTAAGTAAGGATGACTAGGCCATAGTCAACCACGCTGGCCAAGTGCGGGTTGGTTGACTTCACACATATCTTTGAATTTCATCGCCAATATGTGCAGGTTGCATCACAATGTTTTCCTTCACCATAAGAACATCGGGTAATTTATGTACATATGGAAATTCAAAAAAGTCGAAAATCACATTGGTACATCGCGGGATTCGAACCCAAGACCTGTAGATTACAAGTCAAGTGCTTAAACCACTGAGCCACCGACGCTCTATATTAGTCATATACATATCTTTAATATCCAACTATTTAAATAACAATTTAGACCTATGCAGAAAGAGAAATGCAATGTTAGAATGTAACGGTTAAATTAAAGAGATCAGCATATTTTAACATAAAGGAGGGAAACAAACAAGCCGGTCATATTGTTTTAAGAGAACACTACTTTAGACAACTACAATAACAAAAGTTAGCATTACCCTCTGGTACTATGATCATTCGGTAAAGAAATGACTTCAACTTGATGTCTTTTGTGAGGTGGTTGTACAGCCTAACCTAGAATCTTGCCTTTATTGATTTAAATATTGTACCAATTGAGTATCTTGCTTGTTTATGTGGTTGTTGTATTGCACCCAGCAGGACATCTTGCCTGTCTCCTGCTGTAATGTCATTTGTGCAGTAGCTAATGCTGCGGAGTTTGTCACTGTAACAATATTAATGATTGCGTTATATTTTTTTGCATTGGCAAATATATGTATTAGATTAGATATATTTATCAGAAACCACTGAATATTGATGTTTTTTTCAATGAAAATGTTTTATTTATAAAGTGTTGAAAGAAAATCCAAAAATAGTAAATTATTTTTAACAGGTGTATATATTTTATCAATATTTAGAAAGAATTAAATAAAAATGGATACTGCATATTAAAACTATAAATATACTTTAACAGCCTCTTTACATAGAAAAGTTTATATTTATATTGATATCTGAAACAATTGCAGAGAAAGGATGCATAAAAGAAAAAAGAATTGATGTGCAAGACAAATCATTTCACATTTTGGAAAAAAAAAACCTTTAAAAGGAATACAGAAAAATGTATGCTAGTCTTCTTAATAGCCTTGGTTTGTATTGGTTTATACAATATTTAAGAATTAACCCTTTTGTCATCATTCATGGTCACACTATTGTAGGGAAATTAAGATTGTAAACAAATGAAAGAATTGTATTGTGCTTGGTTATATTTGTATGGTAGGTTTCATTGTGGCTGACAATCTATACATTGTTTTCTAATTTGAATGTTTCGTACAAAAGCATTAGCTGTAATGTGAAATATTAGATAAAACGTTTATAAAACCGATATGCATTAACAAGCTCTGAGCTAGTAATGAGGTAAAAATCGATTCTAATATCAATTAGATTTTATACAATTCTTTCATTATTGCTACACATTTAAAATCCAATATAACTCAAAAATAGTTAATTTTAAGTTAGTATTGTACGTAGTTTTAAAATAATTTTTCATTTCGTAAGATATAAATAACAGTCAACAGTAATAAAGCTGACATAAAATATTTCACTTTTATATGTGCTTAAAACGTCTGAGCTGCGGTGACACATTTGAATGGCTGTTTTGTCTCGCCGCTGGTTTATAAAACATATAATTACAATTCATATGAAAGCAACATTTCAAAGAATAGTGATAATATTAATAGACTTATGATAAAAATTAGCTAAAACCTCAGCGCCTACTCAAAATACATGAGCAATTACTCATTAGCGCAAAATTATATTAAAGTTTGAAAAGTAAACGTTTCTATTTATTTTGATCAAAAACCTTTTGCCGACCTCTGTAATAGTTTTTTAAAAAATACCCTTTGTTTGACGTACTTTTATAATATAAGAGTCGCAATTCATTTGGTAAATTATATTTGATTTAGTTAATAAACTCAATATTTATAGACATGGAGTAATGACCACTGTCCAGACATTTTTATCGATGTTTTCCATAACAATAAAATATTTAATATCTACGTGAAATGGTTAGTAAAATTTTGAAACAAAAACCAGACGAAAATTATTGTTTTAATTAATCATTGACACTTTTGTAAATGTAAGTATAATTTTTTTATTTATTTGCTTGTGATGTTTTCCATTTTCCTGAAAACTCGTAAATTTGGAATAGTCTGTCTCTTCATAGTGTTAGCTTTTTAACTATTTTGATATATTCTGTATTCTTAAAAGTTATTTGTTAATCTGTCCTATATATCAATACTATTTATCTTTGTTTAAAACAACAATATTGTTAGTAAAATATTAGGAAACGGAAAAGTAGTGGGGGGTAGTTTTATAAAACATGGCAATCGCCAACTGCTCAGTGTTTTCTAGTCGTCACCACAGAACGTTTGATGTCTTTGCGTTGTCGCATTGGAGTTTAGTTTTTGTGTTTTAAAGTAATTTACAAGCATTGTTAATATGGCCGTCCGTCTATATTTTAAAGGAAGTCATTTGTGTCGAAATATGTAACAATAGATTCATAGACCTATGCAAACACACATCAGTTTCGGGTGAACCGTCCTTAGTATTAATCTATTAAAAATATGTGCTAGATATTCAGAAAGTAAGTAGTAAGGTTTTGCAAAAGTATTTAGTTACTCAAACTAACTCAATTCTAGGTTTGTAGTTTGTCAACTGCAGTTACGTTTGTCATCAACAAGCCTTCGATAGGTCAGTTGGTAGAGCGGTGGACTGTAGCTGGTAAAATTGTTATCCATAGGTCGCTGGTTCAAATCCGGCTCGAAGGATTCTTTATTTTTGATTGAATGTGAAGTTTTACTCTAACTTTTAAATATGTTAAATAACTAAATTGAATAAAAATCTATTAGAAAAAAGATCAGAAAATCTCAGCACATGTTTATTTATTTAAGTACTAGCTGATGCTCGCAACTTCGTCCGCATGAATTTTATAAGTATTAAAAAAGTGTAGCTTTTTAAAGGTGAAAGAAATTTTGAAATCGGTCTATTAGTTTTTGAGTTATTTCAATACATACAAAAATACAAATCTTTATGCTTTATAATATTAGTATAGATAGAGATATGTAATTACATTTAATAATATTCTATAAAAATCCTTTTAGAGAAATTCTGCGTATACTAAACGCAGTGGGCGATAAAATAAAAATCTTGGAAATGCAAAATTGAAATTTAAGAAAGGGAATTTATTGGAAAATGACTTCGTATCTGTTTTCGTTCGAATGATTTACGATTTAACGTCTTTAAGAAAATTCAAGATCAGATGTGATTTAGTTTTATTTAAAAACTAGCCTTCGCCTGCGACTCTGTCCGCGTGGAATTCAACAAACCAAAGGTGAGTAGCCTACGTGTTCTTCCAAACTGTCCTCCATATCCATGCCAAATTTTATCGAGATCCGTTAGCAAATTAAACTACAAACTCTAACAAACATCCATCTAAACCTTTTCATTTATAATATTAGTTAGATTGACAACTGTTTCATACATTTTGCAAAATGCTAAGTTGCCTACAATCTCTTAGAGATTCACATAGATACGACCAGTAAGTTGTTTGTTGAAAAAAATTCAATTCGTAATGATTATAAATATTGGAATATAATTCCTTTGGTTTGTGTGCAAAGACGTTTATATAATATATAGACGAGGCATGAACAAAATGTTTTCACCGATACTTTCTCTGAGACTGTTATAAAATAAAACATAGTTATTTAAACATATTAATAACACCTATTGGTAATTATTTTAATTACAATAAATTATATTGACATGTTGTTTTGAGGCTATTAATAAATAGTGTTAGAGATCATGTGAAAAATATCTCAAATGAAGTGTCAACTGTGT